AGGATTAATAAATACTTTAGGATGTGCTTTCAGCTCTAGGTTCGGGTCTATAATAAAGTTGAGTCACTTGAACCTCAAAAAGGAAGAAAAAACAAGGAATAATGTCTCTATGTCAGATGCCACTATGCATGCGTCATGTTTCGTAGCTCATTTGGCTAAAAAAATGCAAAGGGTCTTTTCTATATCACATGCTGCAGCACGTGTGTCAAGATAGATCAGAGAGAGATAATAGAAATTTGAGCAAGAGAGATATAGAGCACTTGAGGAACTTTGCTAAGGTTTGAAAATTTGAAGATTTAGGAGCATTTTTGGACTTCTAAACACAAGATGTAAGTTTCCTAAACCTCATCTTCCTTTCTCTCTCATTTTTTAGAAGTTTTGAGGTTAGGATTTATTGTTAAATGTGATTTTTAGTTCATGGATCTGAATTCATTCACTTAAATAGAGTTAATGATAGTTATTTTAATTGTTTAAACCAATGATTAATGATTTTACATGGTTTGGTGTCTGATGGTGCATTAATGGCTAAAAATTACCATTTATTATAGTTGTTAGAGTTGGTTGAAAGCCATTAATGGCAAGTAAAGGGTCTAATGAGGTTAGATAGGGTTGATGGAATTTAATAGACCCAATGGGTAAGCTTGAACACTAAGAATGAAAATTATAGGGAGTTTATAGAATTGAAATTAGAAATTTAAAGTGTGTAAATGGTGATAATGATAAGTTTGAACATGATTAATTGTAAGTTAATCACTAGTTTAAGCTTGAGAGCAAGCTTGAAAGCATTTATTTGAAGGATAAACCTTTAACCTCTTAAAAGTTTGAGGTAACTAGGAGAAAATTTATTTAGTGTAATTGTTTGTTAATTGATTGATTTTTTTGAAAATCAAATGATTGACATGAATGATTGAATTTCATGATTATAAATATGTGCTAAAAACACGAGTAGTTTGTGGATGTGAAATATGAATGATTGTAATACTTACTTATGATAGCTTTATGGTGGGAATCAAATGAACTTATGTTTGTGTATGAGAATATGTTGAAAACGTAAGCATAAATTCATTGCATGATCATTTAGTAGGAGTTTGCTAAGGGAGAGGAGTAGAAAACTCCACATGGTATTGCATAGCTGCCTTTTGGTCATTAAATGTTAGCCTTACCACATTATTTGTTGAGGAACTGTCCTATTATTTGTCAAGAGACTCGAACCTAGCTATCTCTACATGTTTATTGAAGAGACTAGCTAAGGTTTTACAATACCCCAAAGATTCAAGAATGAGAAAAGTCATGATCTGAGAGTAGAGTGTAGTAATTTTTAACTAAGTCACTCCTTATGATTAGTGAGTTTAGATAATTTATTCACACAGATGGAGCCCTATTTAAATTATAGCCCACGATTTCAGTTGGAAGATATAAGGAGGATATAAGGGTAGTTCGATTATGCATATTATTCGAAGTGTCATATGGTTGTTAAGTTTGTGGCAAGTTTTGATTATTAAAGTGCCATTATCACATGCTTGTCAATATTATGGCAATGAGCATTATTATGTGATTGGAAAGATACATGATGATCTGGTATGCATGTGATATGAAATAAATGTCATATGTGGCTATGTGATGATATTGCTTGTGTAATCATGTTTAATGCCAATTAATATGTAATTGTATAGGATAAACTTACTTTAGTAACTTAGTTGTTATATTTACCCTTCTCTCTTAATATTTTATAGGCTCTAGTTTGGGTGCTGATAGGGCAAAAGTTTTGAAGGTTTAGGAATTTATTATTCCTATTATAAAGCCTCCTAACTTATTTATTTTGTGTAATTATAAGATATTGCCAATTAGGAAAGCATCTTGAGCATAGTTGCACTATGAGAATATTTATGATTGACTATTTGTTTGTTGAGCCTTGGAATGATTATACATACATTTGATTATTTCTAATTGAGTGAAGATACTAGTGTAAGTATAGAAATGATTCATATTGTCTATTATGTATGAACATTGATTACTGCAATACCAAACATCCCCTCTTTGTTTTGGTATTAAGGGATTGAGGAGTAAAAATGATAATTTGTCTTTATTATGTGCATGTGGTGTGTTGCACAGGTAATCCTAAATCCTTTAACTATAATCTAGATGTTAGTTGTAGCTTTTGGCACAAGTCTTAAGTTTTGAATACCCACGTGATGTGAAAAGGTGAAAAGTTGGGAAATGTGTTCAGATGTTCAACTTTCTTGTGTGAAATTATTTGGGAATAAAACTTATGTCATTAGTTAGTTTATGCAATTAACTTTCTGTAGACACCTAGATTATCTTGACTGAATGTCAGACAAAGATATAGGGTACATCAAAAGTTACCATCGGGTGCTGTTTTATGACAGCATAATACTATCAAAATATGTGTAACGCACAGCGGCACATGACTCCTACAAAGCAACACGCGGCATAGAGAAGAACAAGTCACTACACATGTTCACAATGCCCCCACGCGTTCCTTTGCTTTTCACTCTTTTGATGTTATACAATTAGTTTTTGAGTCTTTTTTAACTACCAAATGACATCCCATGCTTTCTGTGATCGCTTATTATTAATTTTTGACTTAATAAAGTCACTGTTGATGGATTTTACCAAAACTTGAACTTGGGATCTCAATTTTTTAAAGAAATGCTTGTAACTTCAATTTACTTTTGAACGGTTAACCATGATGGAATAATTGTATGGGGTTCAAACGAATTATTACTAGTGAGGAGTATGTTTGGGAAGTGGATTAGTAATTGCGACCTTACAATTTGTCATCCCAATTTGTTTGGGTAATCAATCAAAAAACTAATTTATGTCATAACATACGATTTAAAAGAGAGATATGTGGCATGACAATTAAAAGGGAGAAATGTGGCACTTCCAATAATATGTTGAAATGCCACGTTGTTGTTTAGTAACAACAAGTTGTGTCATTTCTCACCTCTTTTTTTAAAAAAAAATTAAAAATAAAAAGTAATTAATAAGCAGGGGCATTTGAAAAAGAAAATGCCATCTAAAGTGTTTCAAAGTTTATTTTAATGGCATTTTATTTTTAATTGGTATAAAATATATGCTATTAAATACCATTTTTATGGTAGTGGCTTCCACTCCCAAAATTATCAATGTTAATAAGCAATTAGCGAAGATTTTTTATCTTCCCAAAGAGGTGGGAAATGATCCAAAAAAATAATTCTAGGTATATCTAATATAATTTGCAATTGAGAGATGTTGGAAAATGAAGGAGGAATATATCCGATCAATTAGTTATTTCCCAACAGAAAATTGATGAAGATCGGGAAAAGAGAGGTCTATATTTGATGGAATATTTTCGACCAAGTTTTATCTGATGCTTGAAAAATCTCTATGTTGGAAAGGTTGGAAAGTGAAGAAGGGATCAAACCAGACAAATTATTTTGACCCAGAAAGAGAATGTTCAAACTTGAAATCGACCCAGGGTTTGAGGTATACTTCCTTCCAAGTTATTTCCACTAGGAAATTAACATGACCTTCAATGATGAAAGATTTCCTTTGGAGGGTGGAATCCTACTAAAGAAGTTATTGATAGATTAGAAACATACAAAGTAAGACGTTGTATGGATCCTAACCAGAAGAGAATTTTTCCAGTCAAGTTATTGGAGTTCAAGAGAATGGACAGCAAATTTTTCTCCTTGAAAATTATCATGGCTCAGGAAGAGAACTTGCAGTCTTTTGAGACGGCCAAGTTTTTGAGAATCTCACCATGCAATGCAGAATTCTATATTGAGAATTTCAAGGAAGGTCAAGTTACCGATGTCTGGTGCAAGGGTGCAATCCGAAGTTGGAATTATTAAATGCAAGTCCAGAGACTAATCATGTGGGGATTATTGCATGAAACACCTTGCCATTTACAGAATACAGAATGGTTCCATGAAGGTAGAATTTCAGGATAGCCATTTGTGAGTTAGGCCTTCACAGCAAGCAAAGCGAGTTTATCAATTTCTGGGTCCGTAGCCTTGCTGGTTGTGGTTGGCAACAGCAAGGTCTCAGAAGCCATGATGAAGAGCAGCAGAAAATTGGTGGCGGCAGCAAAGTAATAGGGTATCATTTTGAACCTTGGTTATCGAGAAGGAGGAATCTGGAAGTTAGAGCCAAGTACTGATCAGAACCTGACTTCCAGGAACAACCATTTCACACTGTCTAACTTTTCACATTCAACAGTCATGTTTGCAGTGGATTTGAATCTGTTGATTAATAGGACAATTCATATATGAAATAATATCAAACATACCACCGTTTTTCTTTTATTAATTCTGAGGAGCGAAGTTACAAAATTATTAAGAATCATCATTATTGAATTATTTGTGATAATTAATATAACATTTTTATACGTCAACTTTTAAGCTTGCCTGAGTCACTTTCATACCACAGTAGTTTAAGCCAAGCAAGTCAAGCCTTCCAGCTCTATCATTGTTTTTTTTTTTTAGGGGGGGTGAAAAGAAAATAAAGGCATGGAAAAGAGATGAAGAGCCTTCCAGCACAATGTCTTCCATGTATGATTTTTGGGGGGGGTGGGGGAGGTGAGAGAGTGAAAAGAAAATTGAATTACGAAATTAATGTAACGCCATCAACTGGCACAGTCCACTTCCGCTACCTCTCTATCAGTATGCGTTCGGATAAGTCTGGAAATTGTTTTGGATGAATATTGTTTGAGTTTGGATAATGTTTTGGATGAATATTATTTGAGTTTGGATATTGTTTTGGATGGATGTCAAACTTTCTGGACATTGGGTGACCTACCAGTGTAAGGTGTTTTCAGTAAGCATGCTGCAGATTGTATTTGTATAATGAGCGACAGATAATGATCAGTGAGAGTTCTACGTCAGTGTTGATACCGAATTAATATTAATATAAAGTATTATTAGTTTTTATTTTAAGAAACAAGTAATTAATAATATGAGGATCAAGTCTCTTCCTCAACTTTGTAAAAGGATGAATTTTAAAAGATTTAACTCATTTTTCTTTCTTTCTTTTTTTCCGGCAACTACAAACTTGAAATTACAAGCTAGACACGATTAGTAAAGCCATGCTTGCCATCTAACATCTTTCTACCTAAAGTTACACTCAGTTCACTTTAGATGTATGTACTGTGGTGGACTAATTTGATTCAAAAGTCCCCATTTCATGTGCTAATAACATTGACATGGACGGGTCTTATTTCTCCGATTTGAAGTAATTAATTAAGACCGATCCATAAGTGTGTCTCAGCAACCTACAAACACATTGTAGATGGAGGGTTCTTCTTCAATTGAGACTCATAAAATGAAAGATTAGACGTCAAAATGGGTGAAGAAAAGCAGTCTCAGCCAAGTCAATGGAGCGAGAAAGAGCCGCAGCTTTGTCGAGACATTCTTGGTGTTCATCGTCGGGGTCACTGTCAGCCACAATGCCAGTACCAGCTTGAAGATGAGCTACCCATTCTCTGCGACTCTTGTTCGCATCTTGGTAACTGTGCATCGTGTCATTCCTAGAACTCGTCGTCGGAAGCACCACTGTTCTCAGAGCTAGTGCAATATCCATGTCCTCGTTGAACGAGATCCACCCAAATCCGCCGCTATATGGCCCTCGCCTCCTCGCCTCCAATTCATCGATCAACTCCATCGCCTTCACCTGAACCCACCCTAAATATAAAAGCCATGAACAGTAATGATATTCTCTGAGAATTAATGACAAGGTTATGGACCTTTGGTGCTCCACTGACGGTTCCCACCGGCAAAGCTGCACGCAGGGCATCCCAACTTGTCAGGTGGTATTGCAACTCTCCAGTGATCTGAAAGAATTGTATTTTGCAGAATAAGTTGTGGTGAATCGTGTACGTGTGTGTGTGTGTGTGTGACTGTTAAAGCTCAGGAATATTAGGTTCTGACCGTTGAGCTTATGTGCATGACATGGGAATACCGCTCGACCTCCATAAGCTTTTCAACTTTCACAGAACCAATTTTTGAGACCTGCAAGCACAACAACTTCTTGCCAACTGTTATTTTCGTACTCTTCACAGTCCAGAATACAAAAGTTCAAGATGTGTTTTAAGAGCCATATTCTTAACACAGTTAATGTAGAATGTTCGTTATAAGAGCATCCATGATTTCATACATACCTTCCCAACATCATTGCGTCCCAAATCAACCAGCATGACATGCTCTGCACATTGCTTTTCATCATTCAGCAGTTTCCTTTCTAGCTCATCATCTTCATCCACTGTCTTTCCTCTTCTGCATGTCCCGGCCAATGGACGATTCACAACCTTCTTCTGTTAATCATAATCAATTTCCTCTCAATTAAAACAACAGACTAATCTGACAATTCTAATAACATGACAGACTTTCATGCACCTCATCAGGTGAGAGTGTGAAAAAATCATCACATTTATCAGTCCAAAACAAATAAAATAGATTCAAATGTGCGAAGAAATTGAACTCACCTTCTTTATACGTGTAAGAATCTCAGGACTAGAAGCAACCAGAATGCATCCCCTTGCCTATTTGATGAAATATATAAAATAAAATCGCATATAAATCTCTTGACCACAAAAAGTTGCTTGAATGAAGGAGGGATATGAAGTTGCTTGGAGACAGAACCCGCAAATAAGCCATGTAAGGACTTGGATTCACCACTCTCAGTGCTCTATAAATGTCAAATGGATCAGAAAATGTTCTGCGTTCAAAACGCTGACTCAGAACGATCTGAAAAATATCCCCTGCCTGAATGTGCTCTTTTGCTTGAAGAACTGCATCCTTATATTCTTCACTTGTCATGTTTGAGTTCCTCAAAGCAGAACCAAACTGGCGAGTATGAAGTTTCACAGAACCTGGGCATAGCTTTGGGCTACCACCGATGAAACTCTGAATTAACTTTGAGTCAAAGGTTAACTAACAACTGAGACATTAAAAGCATGAACAGATAACTCACCGGATGCTATCCTGTAATCTTGCAACTAATTTTTCTAACCGTTCCTTTCCACCTTTGTAAGCATTCTCTGCTGAGGAGTACCTATCTAGTCTCACCCAGTGAACCACATATACTTTCTGTTGAGCAACCCAAAAAAGAAAAAAAGGGGGGGGGGTTAAAACCAACATATATAGTACTTGAATTAATTTTCCCGTAGCACTTGATGTTAATTAAAGTTTTTCGAATTTTTTTTTTTAGTGTCAATGAAGCCGAAATATTAAGAAGGTAAAAACAAAAAACCAAAAACAGAGATACCTTCTCGACATGGTCAAAGACAATTACATCATCATAGAGGCTGAGATGCATGTCGGCGAGGTTTCTGTCATCCTGAGGAGCCCTTGAAAATGGAACTTTTTTCTTCTCCACGTAACGAATTGTGTCATATGAGAAATAGCCTACCCAACCTCCTGTATGATCAAAGCATACGCTAATTAAAGTTCTGTAGAATGCTGGTAGAAAGAATCAGGCTTGACAAGATCCTATTTTTGGAACATGGATGTAAGTAAATCAGCATTCTTAGTTACCACAAAATGCATCTGGAAGTTCATCAGAGAAATGGGGTTTCCAAGCCTCCGAGATTTTTCTAGGAATCCACATGGGATCATCGACAATATCCTCAGTCAAGTTCCCAAGTTCATGGTCCATTACTGTAACCTTGTTTTCCTTCGACACAATTTCCTTTGTTGGCTGAGCCCCTGCAATGCTATAGCGCCCCTACAAATACGAATCAAAACCACTATGAATTTCTTCTGTATACTTTGAAAATGATGAAGCTAAGATCGAAATTAAACAAACTCACCACATTTGAAACTTGAAAATTGGGTTCTGCAGACTCGAAAAGAAAGCTGGGAGCCTCCCGGTCGTCTTCCTTGACCAAAATCCGGTAAGCTAGAACAGGGGTAAGCTGATCAGAGAATATGCATCGATATAAAGGAATCAAATTTCCACTATGTGAAGCTTCTACGAACTTTATTTCCTCATCAGCTGCAAAGTAAATCAAGAAATGGATCAATGAAACAGTACTGCCGCTTCGTTAAATACCCCTGCCCTGTTTTGAGTATAATGCCATACAAAAAATATGGAGCGTTTAAGTATAGTTTGAAGTATCAGAGGTTGATTGGAGAAGCACTTCAATCTTCAAGCTGCTTTCACCAGGAAGGAACAACGCATCTAAACACTAAAAATTAGAACTTTTGGAAAGATTACAGAAACTCAAAATGAGAGCACCTGAAAACACTCACCATAGGAAGGTGGGCTTGAGAGTGACGAGCACCTTAATGCGACTGAGGTCAGGCCACTCATTGAAACGCCAGTGCCCCGTGCCGGAGAGGAGCGGCGGCTGAAGGGCAGAAAACGGGGAGAGAAGGATAGAGAATGCGTTGCAATGGTGGACATGAAATTGAAACATGATGGGGTGGTCGGGATCTGTGCAGATATCATGTGGGCAAGGGGCATTGTAGAGTGGCTCAGTAGTCCTGGAGGATCTCTCGGTCGTAAGAAACTCAGATTTATAGGATTTTCTTGCGATCATGAAGTGAACATTCCTCCCATTAAATTGGTGAAGCGCTTCCCATGTGATCATCATCATTGATGAGCATGGGCGTGCTGATCAACATAAGCTGTGAAGCATGGATAGTTCAAAAAACTTTAAAAAAATTTTAATATGTCACTTGAAAACCTTAACAAAAACACTTACTCGCTCCGTTTAGAAATGGTTTGTATTTTTAATTGAATCATATTAATTATTTATTTTCAATCTAACATTATTTTTTTTATATTCATTCCTATTAAATATTCTATAATAAATATAAAGTTATTCATCACACTTAAAAAAAAAGACAATTATTACACTTCGAAAGACTAAAAATATCTTATATTTTTGAACGGAGAGAGTAATATTTTGATTGATTGCTATAAATATTTTTATATTACTTTAAAAATTCTTGTTTAAAAATTAAAATACTTATACTTATATTATAAAATGTTAAAATATTTATTATAAATATTTTCTTACCCATATCTTAAAATTTTAAAAATTTATTATATCACTATATCATGTTGTATCATATCTAATATTTGTATCTGTATCTATGCAACCTGGTCATAACTATGCACTCTACTGCTCCTCACTGTTATGGCATTTTTAAAGATTTTTTTTTTTTTGCTTTGGTTATTAATACAAGACATGTGCTGTTTATAACACAATTTAGAAAAATAATAATGACATTTTATAATTTTTTTTAAATATAAATATAAACTTTTAAAAATATTTCTTTACATTATAACATCATTTCAATTTTCTTTTCACTTAAATAACAATATTAAAAAAATATCATTAATAAAATTTTAATTTTTTTAAATTGTCTTATATTTTGAGATAAAAAATTTCTTCAAAGTTATTTTATAATATGAGGGGAGGAAGTATCATTTTTTTTAGTTTTACTTCTTTTCTAAATTTATGTGTCTCTCTTTATTTTCAACAAGAATAAAGTTGAAATTTTTCCTTTTTAATATATATTTAATGAATTAGTTGTCCTTAATTTAAGTGAAATAGTTGAAAATGATTTATATTTCGTCTAGTCCTATTTATATGGCAGAGAGAGAATATTTAATTTAGATAAATTTAATTTTTTCATATATTCTCTTGCTTTTTGGTGAAATTTAATCTATTTTTTAACCAACAAATTTAATCTATTTTTAAGAAATAAAAAGTCTTTTAAATGTTATTTTTTAAAAAATTCACTCTGGTTTTCCCTTTAATTTAGCATAATTATGAGTAAAATTAAATAAAAGAGTGACTTAAAAGTTGAAAGGATCATTATGGGGTCTTTGGGATATATCTTGATGACATGTGATTGAAATATGATTCATATTGGAAACGAAATAGTATGATTTCTCTGGAACCATCGCATAATTACAACGATAAACATGAACACCATAAGAAAATTAAGCCGTGAACGTGATGACCTGCCAAAAATATAAGCTTTTGTAGATTTAATTTAATCAAAGTCTGCCCAAATTAAGCCTCATCATCTCCCCTCGTCTCTATAATTGGTATAGAAAAGCCACATCAACAAAATTTTATTTTATTTTTTCATACTAAACGATTTAATTCATATTTAACAAATCATTAAAAAAAATATAATACTTCATATTCGTCTTCAAATAAAATAATATTTTCTTTAACAAATTAAAGTTTTTTTTCCAACAATATAAAGCTTCAAAAATTATAACTATTCAACTTTTTATAGGAGATTTATAACTATCTTATGCGAGCGCGCATATATATTAGGGAAAATCACTCTAGACAAATTTAATGTTTCGAATAAACCTATAACTAAATACTGCTTTGAAATTCTTAAAAAACATATAAAATGTAACAAAATATTTGTAAAAAAGTTTACACTTTAAAATAGAGAGAGCATTTGGAGAAAATTTAATGTTTCGATAAACCTATAAATTATAAAGTGACTAATTAAAATGATAAAAAGCATGGTATCTTGTATAAAATATTTTTTTACAATTCTTTACCGGCATGTCATTCCAACTTCAATTTTTCGTTTTTCTATGCTCACCTATATATGGACATCCCAACCAAACATGAGGTGTTCATGCTGTGAAGAGCATTAAATGAAGAGAAATAGAATGAATTCATGTGTATGCCTGGTACAAAAAAAAAAAAAACCTTACTGTTTTCCTTAAAAAACTGTAAAGCATTTTTAGCATTAAAGGTATAATTCATGTGTTTTTTTTTCAAAAATACTTATAATAAATATATTATTTTAGGCTTATTTTAAAGTAAAATATCTTATTAAATAAGGATAAATATAAAAAGATGTTATTAATTTAAAAATAATTAATTATTTTATCAATAATATTTAATTAAAAATATCTTATATTTTTTAAGAAAGTGAATATAAATATGAAAGCTATAAATTAAAATATCAAAAGCTAAGTTGGAAATGACGGAAACTTCAGTTGAAAATCCTAAAAGCCAAGTTACTTGAAACATGTAAAAGGTTTAGTTGGAAACATTATTTATAGAGCAATTTTCTCATATTCAATTTTTCTTTTGGGTATTTCTAATATGTCTGCATTATTTTTTCCAACTTAACTTTCAGTCTTTTAAAATTAAAGGATGATGTAAAAAATTATACCTGAAAACGATTCTAATGGAGGCTTCTAATTTCCAACTTAGATATGTATAGAGACATTTTTATTAGTTGATTTGTTTCATAATGTCAATAAAGGATTAAGGTCCTTAATTAATTGATATTTTAAAATTTTAAGGGCTTTAATTGTCTTTTTTTTTTTGTTTGTTTCCAGTTTCCAAATTCTCATTTCTCCAAATAAATAAATAAATAAATATATATATATATATATATATATAAATTGCCAACCTCCAAATCCCTATCTATATATGTGTGTTTGGATAAAACTCAGGCCGACGTGCCTTTATCAATTAGATCCAATTTTTCAATCAAATCTTGTTATATGTGGTTTTCATTGTTAACAATGGTCTAAACAAATTTAAAATTTTACCCATGACAATTTATGTTATGAAAAAAATTTATGTGCTAAATTTTGACTGGAGAATTAGATCTAAATCCCTAATAAATATAAGCACATGGATTTAATCAGTTTTCTTAGGCAAACATACTTTCTCTCTCTTATCTAAAATATTGGACATTTTTTCTAAGTTATTGTTCGTCCAAAATACTGCATACTTTGAAAAAAAATAACATTAAATTCTTTTTTTTTCACAAATGTCTTTATTAATGTATCATAAAGAGAGATGATACAAGAAAGAAAATAAAGGTAATTAAGGTACTCCCCTATAAGGCAATTAAGATGCATTAATTTTAATGGGAGGGTACATGGTGATAATTTTTTACCCATTTAATAGCATAAAGCATAAAAAGATTTTAACAAACTTTCTTAATTTTTGTGAAATTAGTTAAAAATATTTTATTTCTCTGATCTTACTTATAAGTGACTCTCAACATATTTCACTATAATCAATGAAAGACTTTAAAATTTATTAACTTTATTTAAAAATTTAATAAACTTTCAATTTTACTCCTATTAAATAACATATTTTCTCTCACTATGATTTAAGATTGAAAAGGAAAAATTATGATTAAAAAAATTGATGACATGACTTATAAATAGTATTAAAAAAATTCTTCCATATATGCATGCTGATGTGGCAGAGTAATAAAATGAGAAAATGACAACCAAGGACTTCATAAAAAAATTGATGCTAAATTAGTAGCAAAGCTCATAAAAATACTTGAAATATAAATTGATAACATATATATATTTAACATAATTCAATGACTTGTCAATATTGAAAGAATAAGTTATTAAAAAATTAAAAAAGTTTGATTTAAAGGTTGACAAATTTTTTTTAACGTATGAACAAGTCATGTTAAGAATATTTATAAATAATTATTTAAATATAAACAACAGTAAATTTATAATTAATGACAACTCACATAATTGCTTGAAAACAAGTAATAATACACAAACACGCGCGCGCGCATATATATATATATTGCAATATATAATTAAAGTTATTTTGTGGTTTAGTGGTGGTACTTTTTTTTTTTTTTTTTAACAATCAAAGAGTCAAAGGTTTAAATTTTCTCTTGATCCCTTAATACATTTGACTAGATTTGACCTCTAGTCATTGTTAGTTCCAGTGACCAGCAGCGGTAGCAACCTCCTTGCTAGCTCCAGAGCTTTGGCAACCAGCATGGTGACTCTGACGACCGATGACAGTGACCACTTTTTTTATATAAAAAAAAGATTGAAGAACATTTGAATCATTCCACTGAAAATTTAATTGCAATCTAGGCCTTTAAGTCTACAGAACAATAGCAAATTCTGTTGGGTGTTCTTTGCTAATATCTTGGTTTTGAGGGTCTTCATTGAGATTCTCGCTAATTTTTACTCAATTTTCTGTGCCAGCTACCAAATTAGCCTGTTATACACGTGGATGAAAGCCAAGCCACAGTGAAATATCTCAATTATCATGTTATTTCTTCGAATTTGACATCGTTTATTTTTTTTGGGGCCAATCTTCAAGATTGGCATTACAGATAACCAATGGCTTCAAAGTGTGCGTGTCTCACCAAAATAATTGACGTCATTCGGTGGGAATAAAGAAACTCACGTGATAATCATTTCTTTTTCGGATACAGGCAAAGTCCAATAGAAATTGAACTGAAACTAATCGTGGGCAAATCAAATTTATTCTATTTCTATACAGTATATCAAGTAAGCTTTTAAGAGGCTCACTCAAAATTTATAGTTTACATTCCTGTGAGAAGCTTCAATTAACTAATCAATCCACACGAAAATTTCCTCCTCGATAAATATGTG